ATATTAGTGGAGAACTAGAGATATGGGACAACACTTTTAAAATCAATAGAGAGATACGGTGAAACACGAAGGAATTGAAGGCCTCATGCTCAAAGAATTAAATGTTAATCGGAGAATATACACTTTTAATTACGTAGCATTTTTTTTTTCATGTTAATCGCGATGGAATCTCTTCTAGAAGATAAATTAGGAACCAAAGATTGTGGAACTTGATACTTTTTTTAGTTTTTGCCAAGAAATCGCGAATACAAATGAATTAGCGAGACAACGGTCTTAAAATGACCGTTGGGTTTTTGCTGATCTGTACTATTTTTATGTAAAGCAAAAAAAATTCTCCTATAGGGATCACAATCCTTTTTTTCCTTTCCCAGAAAATATCCTCAATCAGTTATTTTGTAAATATTTTATGGATGGGCACATGCGTGAATTAACAATCCTACTTTATCTCTCACGTTATTTTTTTATTTATTATTTTTAACATTCAAACATTTTCTATCTCATAAGCAGCCCTACTAAAAAAATGAAAAATCAAATCTCGAGACATTTTGCATTTTCCACACATGTATACATGTGTGTATACGATTCTTGCATATTTGTGTCAATAACTTTTTTTCATTAATTAATAATTCACGTGGTTTATGATAAGGCGATTCCACAAAGTCTTTGGAATGTCAATTTTTGTATGCAGGCAATGCATGCGTATTTTTGCTATTATGCAATAAGATAACACACTAGAAAGAGAAGCCAACTTACGCTGTGTCCGGAGCTCTGGATTAATTAAGGACCTCGATCGATATTGTCAGAAAAATATCCGTACTTTCTATAGTTGTGTTTTCTTCTGCCTTTTCTTATTTTGGTTCTCTATTTTTATGAGTTTTTAAAAATATGCGAAGTTAATTATTCAGAAAGCTGGCAGCAATTTTTAGTAATATCCCCTCTTCTATCTTTACTTAAGCAGCCCTTAATTAGATTACGGATCGATGTGCTTGTTGCGCCCAGAAAATTAATTTTCTTCGTACACAAGAAATTTATACTTACTGTCTTGTTACCCGGGGAACTTGTGATTACTATGAGGATCATGTTCTATTTTTTGGGTCGGAATTAAAAGGACTATGTTATCGAGTGCTTTAAGCCAACTTATCGTGCATCTTTACCAGAAGTATTTTGATCCTAAAAGGCACTAATTAGAGCATATTAGAAGAAAAGTCAAAGCTTTTGGCGAGGAAAATTACCCAATCAATTTTAAACCTATTGTACGGATGTCAATTAAATCCCGAACTTTCTAATTTTCCCAATTTAGTCCTAACCTTTACTCGAAATTTTAATATAGTCATTCCGGTCAATTTTTACCAAAAATCGCTGGCCAGTCTAGTCTTCAAGTTGTGATGAGCGTGCACGTCTTTTATTGAGGGTCCATTTACATTCACATAATCTTGGAAAATCATGATCATACCAGCTGATAAATGCTTATAATAATCCCGGCGCATAATTATTTGCAATTTGTCCGCTTTATGATTGACTGATCCATAAAACGGCGAGCAATTCATTTGTTTCCGAACTAATCCATTAACTGTCAATGATTTGATTGACTAGCCTCATTATATTGAAACGAGTGAAGAGCCAAATGTATTGGCACTTCCTCGCGAGGATGGATCAAATCTTTTGAACTAATCCCGGTCATGTTCAGCTGTATTGTAATTGTGTAAGTGTAGAATTCGGTTCAGCTACACAACGTTTCGGTGAATGTATATATTCTGAGACAAAATCTAAAACGGACGATTATTTGTAAATATTTTACGGAGTTGAGTAAATTTTCATTTCATAAAGATTTGTCATGTTCTTGATATATTTATTCTAGGTAGTACGTAGTATAACCCACGCAACGCATAGGATTTTTCACTGAGCGTTGCGTTTAGATTAATTATCAACTGCCTTGGAACTTTTACTTAAATTTATTAGGTTATAATTACGTTCATCATCAATTATATTTCTCATTATCTCTTGCTTGGCACAAAAAAATCAAGTAACGAAATTGAATGTCCCAAAAAAGTTACCCCAGCCCTTCAAGGAATATTCTCCATTTTCAATGTAAATACATACATAACAACTACATAATTTTTTTTGGTCGGAACATAACAACTAATATGATTAGTTAAGATACATATGGCAAAAAGAAAAGAATAGCCAAGATGATTCATTGCATAAACAGGGAAGAATAGTTCAAGACTCGTTCATTAAAGTTTTTAATTAAGAGGCCTCATCAATTACCAAAGTCAAGCACTTCTTGAAGGCATTCTAGAGGCTCATTTCATCATAAATGCCATAATTAGGGCGCGAGTTTACTACAATCAAATCATATGTTGCATTGAAATGGAGAAAATTTGGGATCAACGGGAAAAATAAAAACCTAGGCAAGCAACCAAGCGATTATTTCCTCAATATCAAGAAAATCTAAAAAAGTCAAGATCCTTTATTACCTTACCGAGATATGTAATAACTTGGTATCTTGTGAGATACAAGATGATACCAATATATCTTGTCCAGAAACAATTAAATCTTTAGTTTCCTAAAAAGGTGTGGATTGGGTGTTTCTTCAGCCCCTCTCTCCACTCTATAAAAGTTAATTGGGACTTTGAGAAATTCTGGAAATAACTCTCGAGAACGTTGACAAGCCATTGTAAAAGAAGGTAAGTTCCTTCTCCCATCTTTTAGAGGGACAGCAGTTGTTCCCTTATTGCTTCTTCCTTTGCTTCTTAACCTGTTTATGGCACTTAATCAACTGGTTGTTTGTCTTGATTAGGATTGTGAACGGTAATTATACTCTTCTTATTCATTCCTTTTTCCCTCTTTCTCTTCTTCATAAAAGGGAGTTCGACTGTCCATTAATATGTCGCTGAGTTTCCTTCTCCACTGTCATTGTCTGCTTTTCATCTATAAGTTTGACATGATGATATAGTTGTGGATATTTGCGTTTTTTTTGTCCTATGATAGCAACAACTCTTGCCCTAATATGTCTTTACTTGTGTGGGCATTCACTTTTTTTTTTCCTCCAAATTTGGCTAATGCTGTTGTTTCTTTTTTGTTGCAGAGTTTACAGAAAGAAAGAAGGTAGAATTCAAGAAAAATCTAGGATTCTCGGACATGGGTCGTGGGAAATTGGCTTTAGAGCTGATCCCCAAAGAGAAGGCACGCAAGATCACCTACGAGAAGAGGAAGAAGGGTTTGATGAAGAAGGCCCAAGAGTTCACCACCTTGTGCGGCGTCGACACATGCATGATCATCTATGGCCCGGCGGGGTCCACCGCCACCACCGAGCCCGAGGTCTGGCCTGCGAGTCCAGAGAAGGTCAAGCTTGTCATCGAGCGGTATAAAAGTGAGGGCGCTGATCGCCGTGCCAAGAGGACGATTGGGCTGCCCGAGTTTTTTGCTAACCGGAAGAGGAAGGTTGACGCTGAACTCGCCAAGGCACGGCTAGCGAACTGGGAGGCCAAGTACCCAGTCTCTGAGGCGCTGATCGAGGGCTTCTCGGAGGAGGACCTGAGGAGGTTGTTGGGCTCTCTAGGGCACAAGCTCGAGGTGGCCAAGGCAAGGCTGGCCGTGATGAAGGAGGATGCAATAAGGAGATCATCGAGCCATGTGTATGATCATCACATTCACGCAAATGATCATGTCTATCATCATCACCACATGCAGGGAATGTTTCAGGACCATATTATGCCAATCCCAATGAAGCAGCCACCAATTGATGTAAAACCACATCTTGACTTGCCATATCATATGCAGCAACAACCACCACCCATGTTTGAACCAGACTGTCTCAATTCTTCAATCCCGATGCCAAGTGAGTGGTGGTCACAGAAGATCCAATACCAGAACCACTGCCTCGTTGGTGACGTCCAGCCCGGGCCGAGTGGCTGCGGCGGCAATGCATTTGTCAACAACTTTCACCGCTCAGTCAGCTTTCCCGCAATGCAGAACTACCAGTTCGCCACTCTGGACGGGATGATGCTCTCTGAGGCGTCAGCATACGGCCCCATCGTGGGGAACATGTCGCTGGGAGGCAGTTCGAGCTCTGACGCGTGCTACGACACCCAGTTGGTCCAGCCAGTCCCGCCACCCATGCCGCTCTCGATGATGCAGGTCGATCCGATCCCAACCCAGACCCAGATGAGGCAGGCTTCTTCGCAAGGGAATCATCAGTTTCATAATTATCACTGATCTTTTAAACAAGAAGAGTATAGGGTGTCAGTTAGTTCTTTGCTTGATTTTTCTACTAGATGCTTGGATATCTATGTGTTGGTATGTCAATCACTAAGGTCGTTATGTTACTATTAGTAATCAGATTTTTTAGGGGAGGCCAGAATAACTTAGTAGTGACTAGTGAGATTGGTGCTCAGTTATTTTAATTGTTCTTTCAAAGACTAGAATTTGATGAGATGGGCAACTAAGTAGTGTTACTAATTTTTTTTAGAACCGGTTTTATTTCCAAAGAGATGGAAAAACAGATAAAATCAAATAAAAAATCAAATTTGCCTGGTTGTCGTTTGATTACAAGAATCCACGCCAGGATTTGCGGAAGATATGTTTTATTTATTCATTTTTAAGAGACATAGGCATATCATCTGCTCTGATTGTCATACCATAACGTTCCCTGAGCTTTCAACGTCTTCCTCGTTGCACCAAAATTCTTAATGCGTCTTCATGCGTTAGATGTCGATCATGGATATGTGGTAAAATCAGTCACTCTAGATTACACTTCAAGTGAATACAATTATTTCGCGACCATTTAGGGGAAGTCATGCACCATATGCACTTGTGTAGTCACGACAAGAAGACAACGTAAAAATCAAGTGCTCTTATCCTGTATACTGTCCATATTTCTTTCTTTTTCTTCCCTTAGATCTTTTCTCGCACCAACACCAAAAATCTTCCACAAGTATAAAGCACGGAATTGAGGAGCAACAGAAGATCTGTCAGATGGTTTGCTTCAGAACGGCGAATTCAGAAACATATAGATAGATATATAAGGCTTTCAAGGGAACTAGAGAGCCATCACGGGTTTTACATCTCGAAGGGTATATTGTCTTACAACAGAACAAAAGATAAGCATAACACACTCACGGAGTAGTCTTCAAGTGACGGAGGTTCCTTATTAGGCTGGCGCGCACACCATTACCTAGTACTTGACACGATCCATACACTCGCACTTTCCAAGCTTACGCTCTTCGGAAAATTTGGTCAAAAGCCCACACACACACACGCACGCACACCCAACACAGCTTTCACGCATCAGAGAAACGACCACGGTTCCATTTTTTTTGTTTACCATGCTCACGATGCAGATCCCGCTTGTTCGCACAGGTCTAGTAAGTTGAGGGTCTGCAGAAAAAATCATCCAATGATGATTAGTTAGTTTGCTTGCATACACAACCATAGCCAAAGAACTAGATAATTAATGACTCTATTAGTATATGCAAGTGCGTTCGAGATCACAGACCCAATGCATACCTCTGGAACTGAGAGCTCGAGACGAAACTTTGGACCATCATAGTGATGCAAGACTGGCCTAAATGAATCTTCCTCCAATGCTTTGCAGAGTTTCCTAATGCGAATCCTCACCTGTTGAATTCGGGCAGCAAGAAAAGAGAGAATGAGATGCTGCAGCAAAAACAACTATCTTCCTAAGATGAAATAGACATGAGTATGCAAATGGGTAGTGTGAGTCCGACCTGGGCAGGAAACCTTGATTCACCTTTACATTTCTTATCCTCCCACGCAGTGGGGTCGATATTAGAACCTCCAAAGCTTGATGCCTGTCGATTAGAAGGGAACAAGCAGTTAAAATTTAGCGGTGAGGATGGTCAACATTACCGAACTTTGCCCCACTAAAGACTGCAAACTTGGAGAAGAAGACTTCGTGTTAAATATATCAGAGACAATAGTTACGCCCACAAAACCAGCAACTACCCACGTACAATGTCAAAACAAAAGTCCCAGGTTGCAAAACAAGTGACATTCACCTCCAACACCATTATTTATCTTCTACAATTTTAACTGGAAAGGTGCAGGATGATAAAACAACCAAGAACATCCAGGATCCAAATTATCGGCCATCCCAAAAAAGGAGAGACAATGATATTAGTAAAACAAAAAATTTGTGCAGAAGGCCATCCCACGAACCTCGAAAATACCATGCAACTGATGAGTAGTATAATTATAGAGAAACAGAGGTAAGCCTGGCGTAATTGCCCGGACAGAATCTCTGTATCTTGGTGGTAAACCTGCAAGATGAAAACATAACCGGCAGTTAAACTAGTTTTCTCAAGTAAAAGGTCTATTGGCGTAATTGATAATCTAGTTCAAACATCATGTACATATATATAATGTCCTATAAGAAATCATAACTTTCAGATGCCACATTGAGTCTTCAAAGAGCCTAGAGTCCAAGATACTCAAATGCCGACCCTAACTGATTCGGAAACTGCAGTGGGCAACTAGCACCTGTCAGCTATGGCAACCAAATTAAGTGAGGACTTTTAACTACAATTCCCTAAAATATACATCCTTACTCTTAACTGTAAGGTCTGATGAGTCCCATATCACCAGACATTTCTCAATTCAAGATCCTTAGGGTCTAGACTAGCACTAAAGTCACCACCCAACTAGCCAGCCTACAACTTAATTTCCTTTTCTCCCTGCTTTAGTGCGCACAAACCACCCCCAAAAAGGAGCCACTCATTCAGGAAAAATAAGTCATTTAAATTGCTGTATTACACTTGATACAAAAATAACAATTCAAAGCAAGAGACAAAAGGCTTTCTACCACCTCAGCAAATGCAATTTCCAAGCTCTAGAGCATAATCAGGAGAGAAGAATGATTTGTACCAAATAGCTGACGCTTCAGGTCCTCCTGCATAGTGTCATTGTTACACACGAATATGTATCCTCCAAGCACTTCATTTCGAGGGAGGGTTTCTGAAGCAGGAAGAGTCTTGAACCTTTTGTCAACTGCATTGCAGTTTTCACTGTTGGCAGCAGAGGCAGAAGCATCTTTGTTAAAGTGATTACTGCTATACTTGTTTGAAGCCATGCTTCCAATACTGTTCAGATTGTTTTTCTGGCACACTGCATTTGTCTCATAAATACCATTCCTGAAGCAACTTTTGCTCACATTTTCTGCCATCTTTGACTCCAAGTTCAACATGTTAAAGTTGAAGCTCTCAAATTTATTGTCTTCCTGGTAACCGATCTTATCTCTCGGCCTAATTTCTGCTGGACCCTTCAAAACGTCAGTGTTATTCATGCGTTCACTCTTACACATTGTCTGCTCTGCCAATTTGGAAGCAACCATTAGCCACTTGTGATCTTCCGAGACTCTTGATTGTCCACGTAGCTCATCACCCAACTGCCAAAAGCTATGCATGCTTTCCATCTTGCAAACGTAAAGAGAGAACACACGTTACACTTTAGATTAATGCAGTATCGAGAAGATAAGGAAAAGATATATTACTTTATTAAGACGGATAAAGTAAAGGGATGAACGGGAGACTCCTACTTGTAAAAACAAGGTGCGGATAGTAAAACAAAACCAGTATGCTACAACAACCAGGCATTAAGAGGAATCACACAAATAACCATGAAAACCAAATGTCATATTTAACATGCGTAACCAGAACACCAAGCGAGGTTACTTATCAAACAAAAAAAACTTGCATGACTAGAGATTATTGAATATGTAAGACAATGGATAGTAAGTTGCTTCCCAATTTCTATCAGAGATTGAATAAAGAAAAGTGTAATATTTCCCGAAAGGCTTTTGTAGTTTAAGGAAGCACGTTCTGCAAAATAAAGCTCGCCAATCACGTCACTCAGCGTCCCTTGAAGGACCGGAAGCAACAAGTGAGTGTAAGGGCAAAGAACATGTTATAAGACTAGGAATTTGCATCATATCCAAAACCCATTGACCCTGAAAAATTATTCTTCAACAAATAAGCTGACTTGTTGAACAGTTAATACTTCAATCTTCAACAATGAGCAGAACTTGAGAGTCATCCCATCAATTTAAAGAAATAAACTGCTTTCATCTTCATCAATGCATTTTTGGTTATATTACTTCCAATTGAACTCAAATTTAGGAAAGACAAAAATTTGCAAAAGCAATTATATCCTTCATAACTTGCCCAAACATTGCTTTATTACTTGGCTTGGGACAACGAATAGACTCGCTATCGGAGAGAAATTAATGAAATGGATGCCACCCTCTACAGTTTGTCTATTATGCGCTAATGCAAACCATATCTTCTTTGAGTGCCCCTTCACTGTTGAGGTTTGGAAATAGCAACTTGATTGTGCATGATTGATAGGCTTGTTGAAGATTGGCGTTTCTACTTATCTGGGCAATTCAGCATTGTAATTGCAAAGCTCCTCCTTCTTTTACATATAAGTCAGCCTAGAATGCAGTTGTACATCATGTTTCGAAAACAAGGAACTCTGAGCTTCATGATACTGATTTTATTCCTAGCTTTGCGGCCTGGTAAAGATGGTACGGTCTATTGTTGGTTTCAGACTTAACACTAACCATGATTTGCCCAGATGAGTTTATTTCGATATGCTGAGGACCTTTATGTCAAAATTTTGATTGTCCTCCTTACTAAATGTCTTTGGGCATGTTGCAGGACATTGTACTGTCTACCTGCTTGAGGTATTTACCAACAAATCTTACTCATCAAAATATGCAAAATAATAGATCAACAAACAACGGCAATATCATCGCCTTCATTCTTAAAGAAAGTAGCGGTTCAACTGACGTAGTACTTGACACATCAGTTACTCATTGCAAAACAAATATGGTTTGAATTTTGACATCCTGGCTAGGAAGTCAGGAAAAGGGACAGCTTGAGCGAGGCTACAGTCAGAGTTCAAGACCAACGAACACCAAAAATGCAAGCAATTTTAGTGTATATCCAATCCAGTGCATCTTACTAACTATGTGGGGGTCCATGCAGATGAGACCCATTAGAAACGGATGTAAGGTAAAATTGCATTAGTGCCCTGCACTACCGTAGGATGATAGTAAATCTTAGAGGAAGGCTCCATAAAGCTGCAAACGTGACTCCGCTCTTAATCTTATACCGCCAACATAATAGCCTCTAGTATCAAGATGTGCACAAAATAAGTGTAATGGAAATGAGAATCATTGGAGGAATTAATGGCCAGCAAACAATGGCATGTTCAATTGTCTCTAGCCTAAGCTATCTGACGATCTTTAAAATTTGTTGCAACTCACAATATGTATTCCCGCAAAAAGAAAATGGACATATCTGAGAAAAATATCCATAAGAACATCAATGATGACATAAAAGAATCTCATGTAAGGTGGTTTAGAGACATGAAATACAGTTTTCCATGCTCTAATTAGAACATGTGGTAATATTTGAGGCACACATCTCAGTAGCAGGGGGAAGGCTTACTAAGGCATTGATACAAAATTTCATAGAAGGATCTTCAGTATTACGATAACACTAAAGATGCTTCGTAGCACAGTAGCATAAGAGCTCCACCTTGCGACCCAACTCATGAGAAAAGGTTTTTCATTTCTTTCGGCAGTGGGAAATTGTTTTGCAACTGCCACACCAATTTTTTGAAAAATATCTCCGTGTTTAGAGTTCTCCGAGCATCTTTCAAAAGTCCCCCTCCTCCACCCCCCCCCCCCCCCCCCAGATTTCAATGTAAGTCTTTAGAACTATACAATACTAGGAATCCTTGTCAGGCTGCCAAGCTGAATTGGAACAGACACAGCTAATTTCCCTCTAGCTGCTTATACATAAGCACTCCCTATACCTATATGCATTAGTAAATTCACTATATGCTTGAAAACTAATGCTCAAGAGTTCGGCACGGCCTGAAACAAATGCCGAATTAGTCCCAATTTGATGTTGACATGGCAGCAACAATTGACAACATAAGCTGAGGGTAGCTACTTAGCACCCGCAGGAACACCCAATTTCCACAACACATAGAAAAAACGCAATGTCAGAGAATGCGGCCACGCTATCAAATCACATCGGCATCGAAACCGCCAAAAGCGCCAAGCACATTCAAGTTGACCCCCAAAACAAGTTTGACATTCCACATTCCACCCCAACACCACCCCCCCCCCCCCCCCCAACCCCCACCCTTTTCATTTCCTAGGAGAAGCATAATCCAATTCAGCCGCGACCGAACACAGAAAGAATTAAGGAAAAAATTCGCCGCTCCCTCCCGCAGCACGAGCCCTCGCAACCAAAACCAAAACAGCATTTCAACAGATCTACACCAGAAACTGCTCAGACGGAGACCAAAAAACGAAACCCCCCCAAGTCAACCGCTCTCCATCAAGAAGCCCTGCGCACCCGGAGCGACGGAAATGCCCGACCCCTCGTGACGAACCTCACCGAGTTTTCCAACCAGATACAAAACAAAGGGAAAGCGAGGGAAGCCGAGGGGGGCGTGCAAGTGAACTAGCCCGCGCAAGTACCTGAGCTTGAGGGGAGTGGCGAGCTGGTTGCGAACTGGAACTCTGAGAGTTCCGCAGAGTTTGGGGGAAGCGAGAACCCTAGAGAGAGAAGGGAAGAGAGAGAGAGAGAGAGAGGAAACCTTGGGCTTTGAAATCTGCTTTTGGCTCTGTGCGCTGCCTTTGTCTTGTGAGTCCCGGAAAGACACGACAGAGGAGAGAAGAGAAGCGGAGCAAGTACTGAAAAGGTGGGTGTCTCTCTCTCTCTCTCTCTGTACTGTGTATTTATGTTATGGCTCCCCAGTATTTCCCAGAATGCCACTGTTATTTCCAACCATTAATTAAAACTTCCTCTCTTTTCGTCTCTTTTTTTGCTCGTTTTTTTTTTTTTTTTTTTTTTGGCATTCCCCTATTCTTTTTTTTTAACTTTTTGAACTCTGCCGATAACAATAATAATTGGAGCGCAACTACTTCGGTTATTCAAATTAGAAACACACGAACTAATTCGATGGATAGAAGCGTAAATCGAGTACTGGTAAAGCGGTGCGCTAAAGCGAAATTATGGCGTATCGATTGATTATTGCCGGTTTATAGTAAGAATGGTGCAAAATGCATTGTAATTACGATTTCCAATTACCGAAAAAAAAAAAGTAAGCGTTTGGCAATGGAATCTTAGTCTAGTTAAGATGTGGAATTATTTTCAGAAATTATCGAGCGCATCTAATCAAATTCTAACACGACGCATCCATTATTTGAGACTCGGGGGTAATTTCAGTTAAATCAATTGTAGTGATTTTTTTTTTATCACCCAAGTGTAGTGATTTGGGTTACGTGCTGTCGTGGCAATACTAGAAAAAAATATTTTAGTACTATTAGACTATTGTTAACCACTAATTCCTCCCTTCTTCATGAAGATTTTCTAATCCTTGTAAAACCACAAAATTTTGCTCACTAAAATATCATAAGACCTCCAAAAAAGTTCTCTTGTAAAAAGTAAAATTACGACAATCATTAGAAAAACCTCCCCTCCAATCTTATTGCTTACGACATCAATAAAAATATAAGGACCCGATGAAATTTCACGAGTGTGTATGTTGTTCCGTCCCCAACTGAACTGACATAAATTGAGAGTTCTTTTTTTTTTGGGGGGTTTGAATCATGAATTGTGAGTTCAGGGAGTCAAATTCTTATCCTCATACTTTCACCAAAAAAAAATTTTATCCTTATATTGAAAAATATTGTCATAGATATTATTTGTTTGAAGATTTTTCTTCCAACCATTAGTAGATTAGCCAGATGAAAACTTATATATGAAAGGCCATAAGATAAGCACGTGATGAGTAAGGATATGAAAAGACCAAGAAGTAATTTATCCAAAATTTAATATATTTTCCAAAAATATGAATTTTCTTTTACCAATTTACCCATGGAAGAGAGCCCCACCTAACCTATAATTAATGACTCGAGTTCTGCCTCACATCCGGCATTCAACTTCTGCCCAAGTCCCACATTGGATCAGGTGTCTCTCGAGTAGTCAAAATGTTTTTTTTTCTTTTTTTTTCCTTTTTTGAATTATTTGAACAGGTGATAATTATTATTTTCGGAGTTGTTGGCAAAAAGGCGGTTCATTACCGTTGAGTCTTTTCAATAGCAAGCGAACGACGTCGGAGCATGTCGTTTTGGTCCCCAGTCCCCCAGATCCGTACCCTCACCGACAACTTTAACTACAGTCAGCACGATTGGCTAGATTTTTTTGGAAGATTTATCGGTTAAAAAATAAAGAGGCATGAAATAAGAAAATTCAAGAATTGGACCCTATTTATTTTACGAAAAATAAATAATTCTAAAAATAATAGTTCGTATCGCTTAAATAAATAATTAATAAAAAAATATTTTTATTATTGACAGCAATTTATGTTTAATTATTTTCGTAGATTATGAAAATATTTTTTGATCATTCATTTTTCCAGCGCCACAAACGATCATTTAAATAAAATAATTTTTAAATCATTTATTTTTCGCGAAATAAAGACAAGTACGGGTCTTTCTTTCTAGATTTCAATGGTTATTCCAGAAAGTTATGTGCAAAATCTTTCAGCTTATTCTGGCCAATGCCCAATTTTACATTGATGACATCCTCCTTTACAGCCCAGCCACATATACTCGGCAAAAAATTCATCACCGTAGTCATAAACTAATGGCCGTAGTAGGGCAAATTGAAAAGGGTGATTGAAGAATTAGAAGGATTTTTCATCAATAGAATAAAAGAGAGATCCACCAATTTCTACAATTGAACTTTTACAAAAAGATGGTTTGTGCGTTTGATTGGTTATACTCTTCCAATTTGACCAATTTAATTATACAAAAAAAAAAATTATGAACGAAGGGAATTATGCTAACTGTCCCGTTTTAGACTCTACCTTTCAAATTGTCGCGTGATGCATCCACATATAGATAAAGGAAGAATCATATGAAATATTGTGATGAAGTATATCTATGGAGACTAGAGATTTCCCATTAGAGAATATTGTTAGAGATATTAATTAGATACTAGGAATATTATTTGATAGTTCGTTATTATCTAAGATAGCTAATTTCATTTCGTACGCATAATAAAGTGTAAAGTTAAGCCAATTGAGTAAAGATGTGCTTTTTTTTTTCTCTTTTTATCTTTTGAAAACCTTAGAATATTTACATAATGCATTGAGAATTTTGCACGAGAGTTTATGTCAAAAGGTGATCTATAACTGATTTGTTCCTTCATGTTGATTAGATTTTTCCATCAATAATATTGTTATCAATAAGAAACTTCAGGAATCATACACAAATCAGATTTTCCATAAAGAAATAATGGCACAAATTATTTCTGAATTTTGGCCTAATGTGCAATGTGATCACTGAATTTTAGCTTATTGTGCAATTTGATCGCTAAACTTTTAATTTGTTCAATGTCATCCCCGGACTATTGATACACGTTCAATGTAGTCTCCGAATTATATGAAAATATTCAATGTTGACATTTCAAGTTCAAGGACAATATTGATCATTTTCGTATAATCCAAAGACTAAATTGAACATGTACTAAAAGTTCATGGATCACATTAAACAAATTAAAATTTCAAGGATTATATTACATATTGAGCTGAAGTTCAGAGATCATTTGTATGATTTTCCCTTCCAAAAACATCCCTAAAGAGCAAAGACAATATCAGCTCAAAAACGACATCGGTCTTAGGCGCTTAACGGCTTGTTGCAAAGTGACAATCTTTCATCTCTCTCTCTCCCCCCCTCCCCTAGAATGGCAGTCCAACCGCAGTTGAAGAATTTTCATGGCGATCAATGCGGAGCGTTGTCTTTCCCGAACATGAAAGTTGTAAAAAGTAAAAAATGATTACACAGAGCACAATAATCATTGGAAAAAAACCTCCCTCCAATCTTAAATAATAAAAATATAAGGATCCGATGAAATTTCATGAGTGTGTATGTTGTTCCGTCCCCAATTGAACCGACATGAATTGAGAGTTCTTTTTTTTTTTGGGTCGAATCATGAATTGTGAGTTTAAGGAGTCAAATTCTTATCCTCATACTTTCACCAAATTTTTTTTTATCCTTATAATGAAAAATATTGTCATAGATATTATTTATTTGAAGATTTTTCTTACAACCATTAGCAGATTAGCAAGATGAAAACTTATATATGAAAAGCTATAAGATAAGCACGTGATGAGTAAGGATATGAAAAGAACAAGAAGTAATTTATCCGAAATTTAATATATTTTCCAAAAATGCAATTTTTTTTTACCAATTTACCCATCGAAAAGAGCCCCACCTATAATTAATGACTCGAATTGGAATTTCACATGGGTGTCTGCCTCACATCCGGCATTCAACTTCTGCCCAAGTCCCACATGGCACATTGGATCAGGTGTCTCTCGAGTAGTCAAAATGTTTTTTTTTTCTTTTTTTCTTTTTCCTTTTTTGAATTATTTTGAACAGGTGATAATTATTATTTTCGGAGTTGTTGGCAAAAAGGCGGTTCATTACCGCTGAGTCTTTTCAATAGCAAGCGAACGACGTCGGAGCATGTCGTTTTGGTCCCCAGTCCCCCAGATCCGTACCCTCACCGACAACTTTAACTACGGTCACCCCGATTAGCTAGATTTTTTTGGACGATTTATCGGTTAAAAAATAAAGAAGCATGAAATACGAAAATTCAAGAATTGGACCCCATTTATTTTGCGAAAAATGAATAATTCTAAAAATAATCGTTCGTATCGCTTAAATAAATAGTTAATAAAAAAATATTTTTATTACTGACAGCAATTTATATTTAATTATTTTCGTGAATGATGAAAATATTTTTTGTTCATTTATTTTTCAAGTGACACAAACGATCATTTAAAGAAAATAATGTTTAAATTATTTATTTTCCGCGAAGCAAAAACAAGTAAGGATCTTTCTTTCTAGATTTCAATGGTAAGATCATTATGGTCCAGCCACATCTACTCGACATAAAATTCGTCGCCGTAGTCATAAACTAATGGCCGCAGTAGGGCAAATTGGAAAGGGTGATTGAAGAATTAGAACGATTTTTCATCAATAGAATACAAGAGAGATCCACCAATTTCTACAATTGAACTTTTGCAAAAAGATGGTTTGTGCGTTTGATTGGGTTATACTCCCCCAATTTGACCAATTTAATTACACGGAAAAAAAAATTTATGAACGAAGGGAATTGTGCTAACTATCCCGTTTTAGACTCTACCTTTCAAATTGTCGTGTGATGCATCCACATATAGATAAAGGAAGAATCATATGAAATATTGTGATGAAGTATATTTATGGAGACTAGAGATTTTCTATTAGAGAATATTATTAGAGATATTAATTAGATACTAGGAATATTATTCGACATTTCGTTATTATCTAAGATAGCTAATTTCATTTTGTATGCATAATAAAATGTAAAGTTAAGCCAATTGAGTAAAGATATGCTTTTTTTAGGGAATTTTAGCTTATTGTGCAATTTGGTCGTTAAACTTTTAATTTGTTCAATGTCATCCCCAGACTATTGATACACGTTCAATGCAGACTCCGAATTATATGAAAATATTCAATGTTGTCATTTCAAGTTCAAGAGTAAATTAAAGTTCTAGGATAACATTGATCATTTTCATATAATCCAAAGACTAATTGAACATGTACTAAAAGTGCAAAAATTACATTGAATAAATTAAAAATTCAAGAATTATATTGCATATTAAGCTGAAGTTTAGGATCATTTGCGTCATTTTCACTTCCAAAAACTTCCCCGAAGGGCGAAGACAATATCAGCTCCAAAACGACATCGGTCTTACGCGCTTAACGGCTTGTTGCAAAGCGAGAATCTTTCATCTCCCTCGCGCTCTCTCTCTCTAAAAAAAAACCTCTCTCTCTCTCTCTCTCTCCAGAATGGCAGTCCAACTGCAGTTGAAGAATTTTCATGGCGATCGATGCGGAGCTTTGTCTTTCCCGAACTCGCGCTCGGTGCCAGAACACGTCGGCGCTCCTAATCGGAGCCGCTCCTGCTCCGTCGGCTCTTTCGTGCCGGCGAGACGCTTCGGAGTCTTAGCTCTTGCGGTGAAGAGAAGCCCCAAGCGCCTGAAATACGCCACTCCTCGCTTCACCAAGGTGATACCGTACAAATGCCCTCTGCCCTTTCTTTCTTCTTTTGGAGTTCGTCTTCTCAATTGATGTGGGTCTCAGCTCTTTTGTTTTCTTTCCTGGGTATTACTTGAGAACGAAAGATGGATTTGGATTGAAGGGTATTAAGAATGTCTATGACATTGCATTTGCACTGTAATAATTGTAGGAGGGTGGGTTGCTGTATGTTGAAGTTGATCCCATTGGAGGAGACAGTTGGAAATTGGATCCCGTGGTTGATCTTCTGAAAGAAGGGGCTGTTGGGGTGATTCCTACAGACACAATGTATGTTTGCCCTCCCTACTTTTAATCCTATGTTGGGTGTTTTCCTTCTACAAAATTTTCTGATAGGAACCTTTGCTTTGGGATTCTGTCTGGTACTGCTAAAGCCTGTTGTTATTCCTTTAGTCATTGATGGGTCGACGCATTTCGATTACGTACTGCTAAATGTGTTGTGTATGCTCTAATGCTGCCCTTGGCCTTCGTCTCTCGCATTAGTCAAGCAAATTGTTCGTTGGATAATGTTTGACACTTTCATGACATAGACATAATCTTAAAGTGAGAACCCTCTTCGTGAATTTACTTTCTCGGCAGAGTTCAACTACGGTGGACAGCTACCCAATTCTACTTTAGATTTTGTGCTCAAACTTATGTCCTAATTTTATGTCACCATCCTTGTCTTTCATCTCTGGAACAGAATTGGAATACTAAATCTTATCGTGTAGTCACCTTAACCATGGCTGCTATTTGTGAAATGACTCTTAGTTACCCTCAGTCAAGTTTTTGTCTCCATTTTAGAACCAGGGCTGTATATCTTCCATATTATGCTGATCGCCGTTTATTTTCTCTGGTGTGGTCCTCCAAAATTATGACGATTTCTGTTTATAGTGTAGGTCCCAAAGGATTTCTGTTGATAATATATAGACAGACATGCTATTTCCTTCGGCATGGGGCAGTACTGTGTCATCGTTCTAGATTTAAACCAATATTTTTTTCTTCTTTTTTTGCATTTGAATATTCATGCCCGCCACGAAATGGTTCCTCGACTTGTTCTATCACAATACGCCTGGCTAAGTCCTCTTGTTTTTTTAAGATTTTTGTTGGTTAGAGGCTGTTTTCCGCAATCTTCATAATGGAAATGCCTAGAAATTGGAGTTTTTGTATTGCCTCTGCAGTTAAGATTAATGTGAAATAGTGTACAATTATTTTTTCAACCCAACCTGAATAACTGAACTTTCAAGTAGTGATTACTTGTTAATTTACCATTCCATGAGCACGAGGATCCTGTATGCATGAGATGATTATCTATGAAAAGCTTTCTGAATATTTTTTGTATTACTAGATACGCCATAGTTTGCGACTTGAAGAGCCCTTCAGCAATTGAAAGACTTAGGAGGTATTGGCATATTCTTGTTAATTAGTTGAAGATCATTTTAACGTAATTTATTTCCTATTCGTTATTAAAGTTGTTTTATGTGCTTTATGATTGCAGAATCAAAGAGATATCTCCTTCCAAGGTATAGAATATTTCTGGTTCTCTTTTGTCAGTTCAGTATTACCGAATAATATTATGGGCCTGAGAATATTATGTCATGTCATTGAAGTAGCAAAGTGATAATCTAAGAAAGTAATATCAGATCAGCATCAGTGTTCCATCTAGAACACCTCTGCAGCAAGATTTTTCGATCATATCATTTTTTGTATGATTAATGCTTCTTGCTATTACGTGTGATTGTGCAGCCTCTTAGTATATTGTGTCGCTCCTTCCGTGACATTGATACATACACAACGGGATTCCCTCGTGGTGATGGTCAAGGACATACGAATATATTTCGAGCTGCAAAACATTGCTTACCTGGCCCTGTAAGTTTCTCACTTTAAATGTTGTTTCTCGTTGAGGAAGCCAAGGTTCGCGCTGGTGGCATGTCAAATCAATGTGTTTGACACAATGTGGAAAAGACAGGGGAACCTGAAAACTTGATTGTACATTATCATTTATTTGCTTCAGCCTGTGGATCTCCTACTTATGTGAAAGAGGAGGTAGCATTGTTTCATTCAGCTTTTTAACCCTTGGTAATAAGTTAAACAGCATAAATGAATAGACTACTGACCATCGAGTTTCTTTGTTTTGTACATTGTATGGGAATATCACTATGAAATGTAACATTTCTTTTGTATTCTGGATGGTTGCTTGTTGCTGTGGTCTTCGAGATATATGTGACATACGGATGTGCTTAATTTACTGCATTGCAAGTCTGATGGATGCCCCTGGGGACAATAGATCTGTCAGACATCGTGATATGAAGTTTTCGGTGCCCGACTCAGTTAAGAAACTTCTCCATTTGCAGTATACTTTCATTTTAACTGCAAGCAAAGAGTTGCCAAAACAATGCACTAGGTACGGGACTACAGCTGCCAAATATGCTCATAGGAAAAGTGTTGGCGTTCGAATTCCTGATGATGCCATATGTCAAGCCATATTAGAGAGGATGGATTCACCCTTAATTTCGACCAGGTTGGATTTTTTTGCGTCTGTTCATGGTGTATATCGTGCTATGGATGCCAAGCATATCTAAACAAATTCAGAAGTATCCCTTACTGATTGTCCTGCTTACTAGTGTCAAGGGGCCAAAGGATGACGAGTGGATGATAGATCCAGTTGTCATAGCTGATAGTTATGGACCAGAGGTATGTCTCCATTCTAGTAAGTTGGATCTTGCTGGCTATTTGAGATTGATCTTCTTGTTCATCACAAAACTGTGGCACACAGAACTGAACTTTAGCTATGACTGTGTATTAAACCAATGTATGAATTTCTGCTAGAGATAAACAGTTACTAATATTGACTGTTTTCAGAACAATTACTTGGATGAGGTGCTTCTTTATATCTTTGATCCCTTCTCCAGCTTTTGGGTCTTGAACCAAAGGATTTGAACAGACTGGCAGAAAATGAATACGTCTGAATAAAATTTTCATGCATCCCCTCCCTACATGTTTGTCCTAAAATCCAACTATTTAGCTCCTTTTCTATGGAAATCCTCGAAAAATCTGCATTTTGATGCATTATTTTGGTCGCTTTTGCTCCGATTGTAGAGAAAGGGATTGATCTCAAATTTTGGTACGTGCATTAGTCATCTATCTGTGGGATCAATAGAGACAAAAATGATGTTTTGTGTGTTCTTTTTCTTTTGTTCCTTATTGCATGTGTAATTAGGGCCTTGACTTTGTGGTTGATGGAGGCATCAGAGTGGCTGACCCATCTACTGTGGTTGATATGACGGGACATTACCCGAAAATCCTACGGCAAGGGAAGGTAGGCTGCTATCAGCATCATTTTGGGTCTGTAAATAAATCATCATATAAGAGTTTGGAAGGAACTTAAGCAATTGCTTGTGTGATAGCTTATGATTTTCACCCCGAGACATCAGTCGACTTCTTTTCTCTGTAACCGTATGCTGTAGCTTAAATGTTCTGCACAGATAAATTGGAAAAAATGCGTAAATAGTAAGCATGTTCCTGTTCAAAGTGACATGAAAAGAAAGCTCTAGCCAAGCTAGCTCAGTTGCTAAAAAGAAAGTGACCGTCAAACGTATGGAGAGTTTGCTGTTTTTCGGGCGTACTCCAATTCTCTGATGCTTCAGTGTTGTGGAATAACTTTAGGGACCTAAATTGCCCTGGATGGTGGCTGAAGACGATTACGAAGCTGCGGACAGCGAGAAGGATCTCATTGCTGTCGCTACTTGATCTGTGCATCTTGACCGATGGTATGTATAGTTCCTAATGCACACTGGGGGCATCAGGAGTACTGATCATGTGTAAAAAGGAGGCCTCTATAGTACAGGGAGACAGAAGCAACAATTTATTGTTGCTGGTGTAAGTGAAGAGAACAGCAATGATTGTAAATATCATGTAACTACTAACAGCTGTCCTTAAAAGACTATTTCGATCTTTTGACCGTTTGTCCAAAGCGTGCGCTTTTGCCGGTATTCTGTCCTCTCCCCCTCCCCTCCCCTCCCCGCTCGTCCCTCCTCTCCCGATCTGGGTTTTGTTCAGAAAGGGAGATGACACTCTCGTGGATGGTCGCTGCGGTGAACACATGCCTAACACGAGAATACGAAGGAATAATCAAGTGTGTCTCGCTCGTGGATCAGTGATGGAATCGCTACCTCTATCTGTGACCGGTCACGCTATCTTTGGATTTCTGTGTGTTGGTTCGATTGACACGAGCGTTTGTTTTTTTTTTTTTTTTTGGTTTCATCGGGTATGAAATACCCCTCTTTCACCTTACCAAAAAAAAATACCCCTCTTTCAATGAAATTAGCCCTTAGATAATGAAGAAAAACCTCGACTTTTATTTGCTATTTCTTTTGGTATAAAACTTGAAAGTTGCTATCTCTTTTGGTGATAAAACTTGAAAGTTTACCAAGGTGAATGGTTAAAATGTTCTTCCCTTGTTTCTGTTCCACTGATAGAGCTTTTCCCTCCTTGGCAGATTTGCCGGGTTTCACCAGAAGTGTTTACAGAAGAGACCACGCTCTAGTAACCCCAGAAAGTCAAGTATTCAGCCCTCTACCTAATTGGTAATTGGTCCATCTTATGCTCATGTGGGCAGGAATTGTCTTGTTGCTGAAGATCTTCAAATACATTTCTCAGGACTAATACATTCATAAAAAATGAGAACACTAACAATAGTAAAGATGGAAACACCTAGATGAAATCTTTCTATCTACTGAGTAGATTTTCTAGATATCCACTAATGGGGGGAAATAATATTTACCCTTTGCAATTTGCAATGTAGATGAATTAGTCCCTTAAAGTTTATTCTTTCACTTTGTTTTTACTGGTACAGAATGCATTAGTTCTCCCAATGGCCAAAGGTCCCAGGCCCTCAAAGAGGAGAAGAAAGGAGGGCGAACCAGCAGCTACGCGTTGACACATAAATTTTGCCTAATCATTTAGAGTTTTATTGCATAGAAAATTAGGGTTTAATTTTTAATCCCTAAATAAAAATATTTTCATTAAATTGCATAGCATATAGACATTAGGCGCATTGGAATTAATGGGGGGTATTAGACGTATTTTTTCTTGTTTTAAAAAAAAATTTTAAAAATTCGAAAAAAAAAAACCTCCAACCAGGACTACGTTTACTACCTTTTCTGGCCCAACACCTATTCGGGGCCCAACTTCCCTTCTCTCCTTTTCCCCAGCCCAGCCCCCTTTCTTTTCTCTTCCTCTTTCCCTTGCGCTCTGCAGGGAGGGGACCAGAAGGAGAGGACAAAAAAGAGAAAGAAGCAGAACGGGACGGAGCAGAAGCGATGCAGGAGGGCAGAGGGAAGCAGATCTGGTCGGCGACCGGCCGACCACGGCAGGGCCGGTCTGGCGTGACCGACTGGCCACAAAAGGGCCTCACGGCCGCATGAAGAAGGGGGGAGCGGGCGAGAGAGGGAGATCGAGAGTAGAGAGAACCGGGAGAGAGGGGGAAGCACAGAGAGAGAAAATCGAAAGGGAAAAAGGGGAGATAGAACGAGATCCGACGGAGAGAGCGGAGAGTTTTCCGGTAGCCCGGCCGCGTCCGAGCGTCATTTGACGACTCCCGGCCGCGCCACTCGAGCCCGCGGCCTCCCTTTCGCGCCCAAGGTAGGTCTCGGTTCTTTGGATTTTCTTCAAAAGTTTTGAGTCGATTACCCAAGGATTCTGGCTCGGGGCGTGCGAGGCGACCGGACTACGTCCGATCCATCGAGCTCCTCGCCGTTCGTCGCTGTCGAGCCGGATAGGGATGCCACTGCGGCTGTCCTGTTTCTACCACCATGAGTGGCTCTGTTTTGGACACACCGTGGCCGGAGTTCGTGGCCGGCCGACCCGCGCGAAATCCCGGCCACGTCGTTCCTGTGTTTGGTTTCTCTGCCCTTGTATGTCTTATGTCAAGAACCCCGGACGAGTTCAAGTGTCGGTCGCGCCGAAAACCTCCCGTTTTTGCAATGCACCCAACCTGTTTGATGAAATGTCTGCATGACATTTTTTTTTTTTTTTTTTTGCGTTTGTTCCTGGATTGTTGTGTTTTTCGGTTGCGCGTCGACCCGCGATCTTCACGGCGTGTTTTGCGTTTTGCTTTGATGTGGTCCGTGGTTTCGTTCTGGGGCTTCGTCATTTCGCCCTTTTTGGCGGTGCTCGGACGACGACGTAAGATTGGCCGGTGATATCGTGGTCGGAGATTGGCCGGCGACGTGGGGGCCAGGAACCGGCCGGCGGCTTCGTGCCCAGCCGAGTGGTGGCCGAGCTTTCAGCCGGCGGCAGGCGACGTGTCGCACTAGGCGCGGCGGGAGGCTCGGGTCAGGCGAAGCGTCGCGGCGTCGAGCGTGGCGTGGGCGAGTCGGCTTGGTGGCTGGTGGCCGGGTCGGGCGCGCGGGTCGTAACCGGGTGGGGTTTTGGTATTAGGGCCAGTTTTAAGCCTATTAGGGTCAAATGGTTTTGGGGTTTTTTTTTTTTTTTAGTTTAGGACTAAAATGACCTTTAAGTTGGGCCATTCGCGGGTGAGCCGGATTAGTCAATTTGGGCTGAAGTGTTATTTAGGTTTTTATTTATAATGGGCTGGGCTTGAGTATTTTCAATTAATTATTTTTGGATTGTAGGTTTTTTATTCCGAAGTGGGCCTTCGCCGAGCCCACCTCGCGGCGGACCCGGGCCGGCGCGCCCGGGTCGGATGTAGAGATCCGACCCGGATCCCTTTTATATTTATTTTAATATTATATTATTATTTTAATATTAAAAAATGTTTAAAATTTTTTTATTTAAGATTTAATAAAAATTTCGAAAATCAAAAAAATATTATTTGGGCTTTGGAATTGGCTTTTCTTGCCCTTTTGTGTGATTAATGTCATGTTTAATTGCACGTTACTTCATTTACACACTTTGAATTGCGTGTTTAATTTAAACTCGCATGTGGTTGATTATGCATGTTAGGTTCATGTATTGATTGTTGCTTTCCATAACTGGATTTGGGGTGGAATTTTGACTCTCAATTAGTGTGAACACGTTAGACGGTAATTAAACAAGGTTAGGTATTAAAAGGGTACTAGTTGGTCAATTAGGGCGCGAATGATAACTATTCTGTTCCAAAAACAATTCCTGAAATAGAAACAGAAATAGAAACTCGTTTGATAACAACAAAAAAATTATATTTCTGGAACAAAAATCCGTTTGATAATAGCATAAAATTTCTATTTCCTGAAACAGAAACTCGTTTGATAACAGCACAAATTTCTATTTCCTAGAATAGAAATCCATTTTTGTAGAAATGGAATAAAAAAATTAGAAAATTTGGAAAATTACTAAAAATCTCAATTTTTTTTTTCAAAAAATCCATAAAAATTGAAAATTTCCAGAAAATAAAAAACAAGTCAGATTTATGGAAAATAAGAAATATTTTGAATTTTTAAAAAAATAAAAAAATTCAAAACTTTACGAATAGCTTAGAATACACATTGCCACCCACTTTGAGTGAAATTTAAATTTTTGAGTTGTAAAAAAAAAATCAAAAATTTCAAAACTTTATAGAATGACTTAGAATACTTTTGGCCACCCACTTTGAGTGAATTTAAATTTTTTGAGGTGCCCAAAACAAATGAAAAAATAAAAAATTTTAAAATTTCACAGAATGACTTAGAATACCTTTGGGCATCCACTTTGAGTGAAATTTAAAATTTTTGAGGTGCCCAAAAATATAACCCCAAAAATTTAAATTTCACTCAAAGTGGGTGGCCATAGGTATTCTAAACCATTCTGTGAAGTTTTGAAATTTTTTATTTTTTGATTATTTTGGACACTTCAAAAAATTTAAATTTTACTGAAAGTGGGTGGCCACAAGTATTCTAAGTCATATTGTGAAGTTTTGAAATTTTTGATTTTTTTTTTATTTTTTTGGGCACCTCAAAAAAATTAAATTTCACTCAAAGTAAGTGGTCACAGGTATTCTAAGCCATTCTGTGAAGTGTTGAAATTTTTGATTTTTTGATTTTTTTGGGCACCTCAAAAAATTTAAATTTCACTCAAAGTAGGTGGCCACAGGTATTCTAAGCCATTCTATGAAGTTTTGAAATGTTTTATTTTTTAATTTTTTTCGGCACCTAAAAAAATTTAAATTTCACTCAAAGTGAGTGGCCACAGGTTTTTTAAGCCATTCTGTGAAGTTTTGAAATTTTTGACTTTTTTATTTTTTTTGAAAAAATTCACCAAATTTCTTATTTTCCCGAAATCTGACTTTTTTTTATTTTCTGGAAATTTTTATGATTTTTTTTGGAATTTTTCAATTTTTATGGATTTTCTAAAATTTTTTTTTTGAGATTTTTAGGACTTTTCTGGATTTTCTAATTTTTTTTTATGAATTTTTTGATATTTTTTTATAAATTTTATGAATTTTCTAATTTTTATTTATTTTCCCGTCGGGAATGAATTGGACCGAACCAGTTCGGACCGGTCTGACTAGGTTAGATCGGGGCCAAATTTAGGAAGAGATGTGTTTTGAAGAGATAAATATGTTCTTTTAGAAATGGTTCTGATTTTTGGTTCAGAAACAGAAAACCTACTTTTTTTAGGTTCTGATTTCTAGTCCAAAACCAGTTCTAGAGCAAAAAGTTGTTCTAGAAATAGAAAAATGGAATTGCGTTACCAAACGGATTTCTGTTTCAAACCTGTTTCTGATAATAGAAAACTAGTTCTGGACAGAAACAGAATGGTTATCATTCGCGCCCTTAGTTTAATCAAGTCCTCGTACCCATTGAATCTTTGGTTCATAGAAGTGAAACATTTCTCCCGTGCTTTACTTGGGTGTCTAATCGACCCATCAAAAACTGATTAGTGGCGACTCCTAGATGAAATTGATTTGCACATTAATAACTTAAATCTTAAGTCGCGAGTTGGTATGGGCTTGGGAAAGGTCGAGTTAGGTTTAACTTAGTAATCCATTAGCCA